TTTGAACATAATTGTTTATCCTTGAGATGAATTCACAGGTTGACATAATTTTGATAGCCCTTTCCTTTCTTTTGGCCTTGGAACTTGAGGTCCTGAACTCAGGATAGGAAAACATGTTGAAAGGCACTTCGATAGGGGATAAGTTGGCTTCTGGAAGGTGGGCTTGGACATTAGAGGATTCAGAGAAATCCCTGGTAGGGGTCCTCTAGGGAAGGGGTTGAATTGTGGATTCTGAAGGCATCCATCAGGAAGGTCTTATAGCAGTTACAGCTGACTCTAGCATCAGTTTAGGAAACTGGAAGAAGGTATTAAGCTCATGCTTAGGAGTGATACACACCTATGAATTTCTGGATTTGAGGGGAAAATGGGTGACCTGCAGAGGAACAGTTCGACATTCTGAAGACAGACCTGGCTGCAGAGGAAACTAAGACCCAGGGAAGATGGGTAAACAAAAAAAAAGTAAACACTCACTGGCCATTCTCAAAAACTGTAGGATGGGAATCATGTTGAAATAGCAAAGGAGTTCCAATTATTGAAATCAAAATAAAGTATAACAGAATCTGAGACCTCTGTGCTATAATCCCCAAATCCTCATCTCTGATACTATATTTCTGAACTTTAGTGCTATATATCTAGCATTTTCCAGACATTAAAAAATAGTCCTTTTGTTAGAAGTCATGTATTTAAGAATGAGCATGGGGAGCTTTGCCAAAGAACAAAATTCATAAACTTAAAGGAATACCACAAGTCTAATCATATCCAGTTTGGAATCTTAACTCTGTACAATTCTTACCCCATGTTACTCCCTCTGATTTTGCCTTAGTGCTGCTACTTAGTGTTTTCTCCTATAATCTGTCTGTGTGCTTTGTTTTCTCTCTCTAACATGCAACCTCCCTGTTTCTTGTTTGCAGTATCTGTCCTTGTGCTTAGTTAGATCTTCATGACTCTTGACAGTTCTAGCCACCAACTATTTGCACAGTTGTACTTCTGATTCTGCTGACCAGTGTGTCTGGTATTCATTTCAGGTACTCAGTAACTATTTGTTTCATGAGTGAATGTTCCTTGGTAAATCTCTGAACTCTATGATTTCAAGGGACTTGGGCTCCAAGTTGCCCCAGACTTCACTTGATTTCTACCAGAATAACTTCAGGGAATGTTGATTAACATCAGTGCATTCTAGCTCAAGTTAATCTCTCACAAAGTTAAGAACCCTTAGACTTAATAAGACACAAAACTCAACTGAAAACGTTTTTATCAGGAGGTGTAGCCTATTAAGATTCCTTTCCATCAGTTTAGACTTTACTTTCATTTCCATATAACTACAGCCCACCTGTCTTCATTTTCTGTTTCAGGATCAAAACCTATTTTTAAGAAATCATTCTATGTATTCACTAGGAAGTATGAGTTATATATCTTAATATATGTATCCTAAAGGTATCTGCATTTTTATTAGTACAATAAAAATAGTGGTTATTAATTAACTTTTACTCTATCAGGTATTGTGCTGCATTTAATCCTCAGATGAACCCTATGAGGTCAGCATTGTCATTATTCTTATTTTGCAAATGATGAAGTAGGAAATAGAGAAGTTCAACTGCTGTTCAGTGGTATCAGTAAACATAATATCCATCTCTGAAAGTATACCGCCCAGATAGCCACCTGCCTCTCCTTATGAACAGCAATTCGTGAGGCCAAGGATGCTATTTTGCCTGGCAATATCCAAATCCAAATAAGGGCAATCAGACAGTTTTTTTTCCCTCTTTCTCTTTCAAGGCCACATGTTTCTGGATTACAACTGTGCAGCTCTGAAAGACAATAGCCTCTAGGGAAATATCTGAAAACAGGACTCGTAAAATTTTGGCATTTACATTTGAAAATGTCTTGTTAAAAAACCAACAAACACTTGTATTCATTAGGAAATTATTCTATAATCCTTCAAAGAAGGTCAGAATTCAAGTTCTGTTAGAAACTCTTTCTATTTTTCTCACTTAAATCACCCTTCAAGAGAGAGTTTTTGTTTTAATTTGTTTTCTTAACTGAAACCCTGAAGTTACTAAGGCTTCGCAGGAAAGGTGTGTGTGTGTGTGTGTGTGTGTGTGTGTACATGGATTTTAAACTGATTCAGAATTTGTTTTGTCCTGCTTTATTAGGTGTTGATCTTTTTGTGCAATCCAGCCCAAATTTCAAAAACATGCCTCTCTGGAATACTCAACCATTTTTTCTAGAAAGAGAATTTTCCACTAAAAAATGTCTCAGAAGTCAGCAGGTTTTTAATTTAAAGTTTAAAAGCAAATAAATGTTTCTTCAACCCTCTGCCTTCTAAATCATTATGTTTTACTAATATTCCAAAGGCAAACACAACTTTAATAATCATATACACATCTCAACAGAAACATTTGCAGTTTACTGCTGTGTCTTAGTAAGTCCACTGGAAATCAAATCATATCAAGCACTGCTGCTCTAGAATTTCTTGAGCTGATATTTTGATCATAAAGTCACAGCCTTAGAAGATACATAAGAGATACTCTTAGGTTTAACAAGGGACGTGATGGTAAATGTTAAACCACAGGCTCTGCCAAAACAACAAATCCTGACTTATTGCATTTCCCAGTTTCTATGGTGCTAAGAAATACTCCCACTGTAGCCAATTTCAAGCTACCAATGTGGCATCACTGAAGGCAGAGTCGGAAGTGATGCAAACACCATCCACACCACTGGTTCTGACAACCCTGACAGCACATGAGCTTTCATAAAAATTTCCAGTAAGTCTCCGAAGTCGCCAAAGTCAGATGTTACTGAAAGGAAGCAGATGAGAATTGTGCTTAACAGTCAAGCCCTAAAGGTGGGTGCCCAAGCCCCTAAATCTACTAAATTACTTTCTGTGTTCCCTCTGGTAAGCTGTGTATCTTTTCTGTCAATGCATTTCCTGTTATGCATGAAGTAGGTAAAATGGTAATTATAAAGTTTCTATCCCATGAGATTGCTGATGTAATTAAATTAAATAGTGCATTAAAATGCTTCAAAAATTTCTGGGCACAGAGCAAGCTACAATAATAGGCTTTTAGTAATAAATGTTAGGTGTTGTTTTTCCAGGATCTACCATTCCAACTGTCAGAATGTTTTACACATTGTCGTCTTAATTTTTAAGAGGTCATTAAAAACCATCCTGCTCAACAGTAATAGCCTGCGAGGAGCCAGTTATAGAAAGAACACAAAGAGCACGAGCAGAAGTCATACCTTAGTTTCTGTGCCTAGCTTTGCCAAAGCAGAAGTCTGTGACCCTTGGAAAACCTGTTCACTTCTAAGAGCTTTGGTTCTCTCATTGGTGAAATGCAGAAAGTATATTAGTTGATTTTTAATCATGTGAATTTTTACCTGTGAAACAACAGTGGTGTGTGTGTGTGTGTGTGTGTGTGTGTGGTGTTTAAGTCCACTATACTCAGATAAAAGAAACTTCAATTTTACCTCCAGCTTAACAGTTCCCCCCTCCCCCACGCTCACACCTGACTCGTGCATGGACACCTGTGGAAGGGAAGGGGCATGATGGATGCTCACTCTCCATGTTCCATCACCAGCACTACTCACTCTGCAGTTTCTCACCATTCAACAATGTGGTGGGAGTGGTAGAAAAATACAGGAGTCAAAGGGCATTGCAAGACTGGTGTATTTGTTGTCATCTATGTGATGAATGCCCAAATGCTGGTTATTTTTTTCTTCTGGGTTGTGTATCCTTCACAGAACTTGCTATACCACGAGGGTACCTTGACCATTATGTGTTCTCTGATATTTGAGCTGAATCTTTCATCTCCCTGGTTCATTCAACAATCACCTCATGCAACCTCTTTTTCGCCTTCTGAAGGCAGTTGTCTTTCAATACTGGTCAGTCCATCTAAAAGACCCCTACTTCATCTGCCTCATGACTGGAAAACTCAGTGCCTTTTCTATGTTACACTCTGGAGCGAGCTTATTCTCTCCCTCCACAGTGTCCCTTTTACCTGTGAATTCAAGGTAGTCCAAATTAGCCTGCCACCTTTACCTCTGTTGAGATGAGAATCAGTACCCTCTAAACTCCAAGAGATAGTGCAGAAATATGTTACAAACTGTCATATCAAACTCTACTATGTTTTCTATTAGCAGTAGGATCCTCAGGACCCTCTCTTCAGGTTCTGAGGTAAGTACTCCCTTAGAGAAAAAGGGGAAAATGCACACTTCTCTCTTACGGCCAGGGTTTCTTAACTATTGACACATGGGGGTTGTGCAATTTTTTGTCATGGGCTATTTTCCCTTGCATTGTGGGATTTATAGCAGCATCTCTAGTCTCTACCCATCACTAAACAGTAGCACACTCTCATCAAACAAACCAAAAATGTCTCCAAACGTTGCCAAATGACCACTGGAAGGCAAATTTCCTGGTCAAGAGCTGCAGCACTAGGCCAACAACCTTCTTCAAATAAATCCCCATTTCTTAATCTCCTTACCACTCTGCTAAGCATGAGGCTAGGTGATGAGGTTTAGGTGGTGATCAAGTACATATTTGGGACTGTCTATTAACAAGCCCTGCAGAATGTTTGATAGGTACATCTTATGAGAATGTGATCCCCATTTTCTCAGAAGGAACTCTGAGATCTTGAAATAATAGGAAAACCCATACATCAGTAAAAATGGGTATAAGCCTACATCTACCTCTGACATTTGCAAATCTGTGCCTAAGGGCAATGAGTATATAGAGAGAGGAGACTCTAATTTGTTCATTTTATAACTTAATTATTTGACTATTTTTTGATATTTAAGTATTTGGATTAAAATGTGTATTTTTTAAAAAGAATCATAGTCCAATTAAGTAGCTACATGAAGAAAAATTCTTTAAATTTTAATAAGATTTTGATTTTGGCTTCTTGACTAAGATATGCTAAGTTCATGTTTGAGGTAAATGAAGACCAAGAAAGAGGAAAAAGGGAGAGAGGCAAAGAAGACAAAATGGAAAGGAGGCTAAAACTTACCTTGTTTCATCAATATAAACAGCTTCCAACACAGATGCTGCATATTCAATATTCTTCTTTAAGTCTACGACATTAACATCACCTTTTTCCAGCTGCTTCACTAAGCATCTTAGTCTGTTGAAAAAAAGTAGTCAAAAAAGAGAGAAATAAAAGGAGACTTATTATAATAATATGGAAAATAATGTTACATACACAAATCAAGTTAAATGATTAGCATATCTTTCTAGGTCATCAAATAGAAATATTTTGAGGATTTTTTTGATAAAATTAAGATCAGTTTTTCTCACTTAGACAACTCTTAAAAGTTATATTCACCTTTCAATAATATTAGGGCTGTCAATTGTTCTTTTAGGTACTACATTTCAAGGACAGTCTTTCTGAAAATTCAAAACAATATAGGTATTTCCATAAAAGTATATACCCAATACTAGAATTTATTTTATGGTTGCTCTGCTTCTTTAGAGCTGGCAGTAAAAAATTATTTAAAGGGTACTCTTTTTACCAGTATTGTAGCAATTATTCACTGTATATAGCAGTAACAACAAAAATGAAAGGCAAAAGATCTGAGAAAATATGATTATGATGAGAAATTTTCTGAATATTTTTAGTAATATTTTTACTGAAACGATTTTTCACCTGAGGCCAATCTGTCCAATATTTTCTTTTGCTTTTGTCCATACAATAATGTTCCCAACTCTCTGAGGAATTTTAAAGCATAGGAATCAAGTAAGCCATGTCTGGAGTTCTGACTCACAGAAACTGAGATAATTAATGTCGTTTGAAGTCACTAAAGTTGGGGATTAATTTTTTATGCAGCAATAAATACCTCATGTAGTGAGATAATACAAATACTTGTATAATTTCCTAAAATTTTTAGAAACTTTTGCGCCTTAATTACAAACCAAGTGTTTCTGAAGATATTACTATATACTAGGCAGAAAAGGAAAGCATATTCCTTATTCTCTACATACTATAGATGAACAATGTGAAGACAATTTATCCATTTTCCCAAGTCAACAGACATAATTTAATTCCATTCCTGAGCAAAGGTATTTCAGAGAGAATGGAGTATATCTACTTTTAGGCATTGTCTTAAAGACAGTGTAGCAGATTTTCTGAAAATTTACTTTGAATAATTTCCAATATCAAGGATAAGGATGTAAAGACAAGTTAAAAATTTCAGTAAGGGTTCTGACAGCACACCTAGACTAAAACTTCTTATTCAGGAATCTACAAATAATTATCTTTTGTATCATACAGTTTTGTATGATAAAATATTAGCAAATAACCACACTGCAAAATAAAATCTATGTATTAATAAATAAGTCTCATTTAAATGTCAGCAAAACAAAACAAAACAAAGATAACAACTAAAGCAGGTTACTCAGGAAAAACAGCCTGTCTGAACATGATGATAATGGAGTAAGAACACATGGAGCATTTTAAGATTTTTGTAATGTTTATGACCTAAGCACATTATATTTAGTGAAACTGCCTTTTATGTGTGAGAGCAAAAGAAAGAATTCACAAGTCTGCATTGACTTAAAAATATATCCGTCATGTATCCTTCTTGTGAAAAGTACTTGGTAGAAGTTGGTTGTATTTTGTGTTTGTATGACTTAATTTTAAAAGCAATAAGTACTTCAGATGATTGCTTCTTTTCTTGTGAATAAATAAACTCTATTTTTATTTGAGTTAGCAGTTCTCTCCACTAAAAAATCTACATTTTTTCAGGCTCTTTTGGAGTCAGATAGAGTCATTTGACAGCTTTCTGGCCAAGGAGAGTTAACAGGAGGTAGTTGAGTAAGACTTCCAGAATGATTATTTTGAAGAAGGTTAACTCAGGTGGAAGGGGTTCTCTTCTTTCCTTGCCAGTTCCTTACCGCCCAAATGCAATGGAAGTGTCTGAAGTTCCAGTAGGCATTTAGGGTCATGAGGCGACCTGGCAATCGGAAATTACCCACTAAGAATGGCAGATAAGGAAAATGGAAGTGGCCTGAGTCCCCATGCTGTGAATCCACCTGAATGAAGTCACCTACCTCTGAGTTATTTCATATGAGAAAACAAAAAAATGTTGTGTTTAAACTACTATGATTTTGAGACTTTTATGTGCAACTGAGCCCAATTCTACTGATAAGTCAAATGTATAAGAAATGACTGAAAATAATTCAAAAATGGTGAAACCACCATAGAAAATGAGAGGGGATGTCCCCAGGAAACTGCCCACAGGTATACTTCCTAAATCATGAGAGTCTGCAGTTGTCCCCAGGGGTATCATCCCATCATCAGATCAGACCTGATGAAACCTCTTTCACAGAGACATCTTGATGTGGTTTAAAAGTAATAAAGGCTATGCATTTTCATATTTTAATAGGGGTATAAATCTATATAATCTGACAAAAAAAATTGCTCTGAAAATATACTCCAAAGAGGTCTTACCACCTAATCAGAAAATCTAGTTGGATAAGGTTATTAGCACAAAATCATAGCCACCCCTACACACATTCCCACACACACGCTCCTAAACTCACTATGTTGATCCAAAAAGACTGGAAGGGAATATATATTTGGGGGTTACTAGGACTTCTTCCTCTTTTATATCCTCTGCTTGTATGCAACAAATTGCCTTTCATGAGTGCAAAAAAGGAAAACTATTCATTGTAAAAAGACTATTTATAATCAGAACAGCAGGTTAATGGAATAATTTATATAATTATTATTCCAGTTGTGAACTTGCTTTTGTAGTCAATTTATGCATAAAATAATCCCCAACCATCTTACTTAGGTTATTATTTAACTCTCTTAATAGATAAAAAGGTCAAACATCTTTATTATTCATTTTCAAATGATGGTAATTTATAAATTAGTAGGTTCTAAAGTATTAAGTCTTTACTACATATATTTATACAAATTTTTGATTTTTTAAGTTTATTTTGAAAGACAGCAAATGTGCATACAAGAGCGAAGAAGGGGCAGAGTGACAGGAAGAGATAATCACAAGCAGGCTCCGCACTATCAGCACAGAGACTAGTGAAGGGCTCAGTCTCATGAACCGTGAAGTCATGATCTGAACCAAAATCCAGAGTCAGGCACTTAACTGACTAAGCTTCTGAGGCACCTCCAAGTTTTTTATTTTATTTATTTATTTATTTTTATTTTTTTTAATGTTTTTTTATTTATTTCTAGGAGAGAGAAAGAGAGACAGCGTGAGCAGGGGAGGGTCAGAGAGAGAGGGAGTCACAGACTGAAACAGGCTCCAGGCTCTGAGCTGGCAGTCAGCNCATTCAGTCCCTACTTTTGTATTGCCCACAAGCTAAAAGTGAGTTTTATTTTTTTTTCAAAATTTATTTCTAGGAGAGAGAGAGAGACAGCATGAACAGGGGAGGGTTAGAGAGAGAGGGAGACACAGACTCTGAAATAGGCTCCAGGCTCTGAGCTGGCAGTCAGCACAGAGCCCGACGCAGGGCTCGAACCCACAAACCGCGAGATCATGACCTAAGCGAAAGTCGGACACTTAACCAACTAAGCCACCCAGGCGCCCCTTTATTTTTTTAAAAAACTATATTTACCTAATTCCTAAGTCGTGCTATGAGCCAATTCTCAGAACTAAAAAAGGAATCACAGTCATATGAATAAAATGAACAGGTTCTCTTAATCTAGTAAAACATCTTTTTTAATAATGATTTGGTTTCTTTCATCAAAGTAAGGTAGCATAGTGAAAAACAGTGTTCTTAATGTTGTTCTTAAAGTCTTGGTATGTTTTTATGGTTCCCAAAGCATAAGTTAAGTAGACTTGTTAGATGTTCTAATCTGTGCACTAATCTGTGCAGTTTCTGGCCCACTAATCTGTGGTTGGGGACTCCACTGGCTACTCTGCTGGGTAGCAAATGAATTAACAGCTGTTCTATCAAACAACATAGACCAGCTATTTAGAAGTCAGTGATATTGCCAAAAAGGTGTTAAAAACCCCAGTCAGTTAAATAAATATTTAGCATTTATTACCATGTTTTGGGCTCTGTAAATATATATATTTATAATATAAATTATTTTATATATTTATATTCATATATTTGAATACACATAAGAATAAATATGTATGCATATATAAACGCACACACACACACACACACACACACATTTACCTGTGTGTGTAACAAACACAGTATCTGTCTTCAAGGTATTTACAGTCTCTGGGGATTGCATGAAATATGCACATAATATGGCCAAATGATGAGATGTTATACATTCCCCATTACTTAAAAAAATTTTTTTTACATTTATTTATTTTTGAGAGACAGAGACAGACAGAGCACAAGTTGGGGAGAGGCAAAGAGAGAAGGAGACACAGAATCCGAAGCAGGCTCCAGGTCGTGAGCTAGCTGTTAGCACAGAGCCTGACACGTGGCTCGAACTCACATACTGTGACATCATGACTTGAGCCAAAGTCAGTCACTCAACCGACTAAGCCACCCAGGTGCCCCTATCCATTACTTTTTTTAAACAACCCCAATTTTACACAACCCTAAGAAAATTGATTTGGTTATTGTTCTTCGAACATTCTCACACCATCCTAGATTGAAGCTCTTCTCTCTTACTGAAATACCTTTCTCCATATCCCATCTTTTACTACCTGAATTATGTTTAGTAAATAGGCATACCTTGGTGCTACCTTTATCATAACTCCTTTGACGATTACCATCCATTGTGTTCTCCCCCAACTTAGAAACTAAACCATGGGGCGCCTGGGTGGCTTAGTCGGTTAAGCGTCCGACTTTAGCTTAGGTCATGATCTCGCGGTTCGTGGGTTCGAGCCCCGCGTCGGGCTCTGTGCTGACTGCCAGCTCAGAGCCTGGAGCCTGTTTCAGTCTGTGACTCCCTCTCTCTGACCCTCCCCTGCTCACGCCGTCTCTCTCTCTCCTAGAAATAAATAAAAACATTAAAAAAAAAAAAAGAAACTAAACCACATTTTATTTATTCCTCACTATAAAAAAAAACCCCTGAAATTTCTCTGGTTTCCTTATAATTTCACTTTTGTATACAAGATGTTTTCCCAGTTGGTTTTCCATCCAATAAAAGAAAATTATAAGGACTACAAGGAAGCAGGATAATTGATC